TGATAAAAGAAAAAAGGTGAAAAGACAGATCATAAAGCAAAACCACATGGTGTGTTTTTAGCAAAGCTGTGCATATAACATTTAATTTTTCACAATATTGTAAAAACATGTCCAGTAATTAATTTGAAGTAAACAAGAACCTTATTGTTCAGTAACTTTTATAATTGTGTAAAAATGTATTATTTTTTTAAAACTAAAATAATAGTTAAATAATAAAATAATTATGTAGTAAAAAATATTATCTATAAAATGAATATAAACTTTAATTTTCTTTTCCATCAGTGGAGAAGACAAAATAACTTACTAATACTTGATGAATAATAATTAGTGCGGTACCCGTGCAATGCACGGGCTAGTTTTATTATGGTAAGCATTTAGATTGGATGATGAAAAAACGTAAAACGCATATATTAGAATAAAATAAAATGTAACTTATATATTAAAAAATGTATTCTCGTATACAACATTATTTGTTTTCCTTTTTGTTAAATCGTCTAAAGCCACAAATTAAAATTTTCAAACACTTAAGATTCGTAGCGCGTGAAACATGCATAAAGCTGGCCGCGCGTGAAGGTTACATATATTATGATTCTAGACAGGTATAAATAAATCAATTAAATTATTTAGCAGGATATATCTTATATGATTTATACTTGTTTTATGAAGATTACATAGCAAAATATAACGGATATCGTAAAACGTCTTTCTTGATAATCTATAGTTAATTCGAATTTTATATTGCCAAAAAAAAAAATATATATAAATAGTAGTAGTTTAATAGGAAGTTCATTTATATGAGAATATGTGATTGTATTTTTTTCTAATTGAAAGTTTTCATTCAGCCAATTTTTAGTTCAGCTAGATTTTTTGAATAAAAAATGAGAAGGGATTTTGATTTTTAGAAAATCGTAAACACTACCGAAATCTACCAAAATTAAATCTACAATACCCATTATTTTAGGGTGCATTTAAGGTTAATCTATTTTTTAGGTTAATAAATTAAAAAAATTAAAAAAACTACCGACATGCAATAAATGTGGGCCGATTTTATGGCAACTCAATGATAAGGGATTTAAAAATTAAAATTTTGTATTCGAAATAAGACCTAATTATTTTCAATTAAATTTTTTGAATAAAAATAGAACGGATTTTGATTTCTATTTAATTGAAAATGGATTTTGATATATGAAATTTTTGAAAAATACATCAACAAAACCCTTCAATTTAGAATGCATTTATGGATGACCGATTTTTTGGGTTAAGATTAAAAGAAAATTAAAAAAACTGCTGAAATTGGAATGCGTTAAATGTTAGTTGATTTTTATGTTAATATTTTTTTGTAAATATGTTGTCTTTTTGTAAATATGTTATAATAAATAGATAAGAGATGAGATTTTTAAAATTTATAGGGATCCATATATAATAGGATTCTTCATATGTAATTAAGTGTGAACAAATTCAATTTTTTAAGTGTGAACAGATTAAAAATCAGTCGATTTATTTCCCTGTTCATAAATGTCCAACAATATTTTAAAATGGTTATTCTTTTAATATAATTATAGAAGATGTGTATGAGACACCTACGTATAAATATTCTAGTCCTATAATTTTCTCTTGTGAAAATTAATGCTGGACGACATGACTCAAGATTAAATAATTTTATTTAAAATTGATTTACAAAATAAAAAATAAAAATTTTAGTAATGAATATACTATAAAAATATATAACATCCACGCCCAATTCCAATAAGAATACATCCAAATTAATTATTTTCCTTTATGGAATAAAAAAATTCTCTATGTTTTTAATTTGACATGGTGTTTTCTTTTTCAGGGTAAATCCCCAGGAAACATATTTTGGACTGATTTGGACATCCCTTCATTCATACCATTTTTTTTACACTTAATTTAATAAAAATAATAATAATAATAATAATAATAATAATAATAATTCACTTGTCAATATTATAAAATTCAAGGGCGAGAAAGTCGAGCTTATATGTTAAGTATCTTTGTTTTTATTTTGGCAGCTGGAGATTAGAGGGCGAAAAAGTCGAGCCGAGGTTGAGTATCGATGTGTTGAGTATTATCGAGCCGAGTCGATAAAAGGATTGAACTCGAGCTCAACTCATTTACATCAATATTAACAAGTGATATCTAATTTTAACGAACCGCATTCGAGTCATAACAAATCGAATTATTAAAAAGAAAAATACATAAAAATTTATAAGGAATCGTACTAGTTAACTAAAAGAGCCGTGTTTTGCCTTAATAACCTGAGCCAAGTTTTTGAATAACAACTCTCTAAGACCTTCTCCTACCGTACCTCAAAATCAATCGCAAACACAAAAAAATCCTCCAAACGAACTGCATAACCCAACCCAAAATGTGTTCTTCCCTCAATTTCTCTCTCTTCAAACGCAATTTTGCGTTTCCCTGTTCACAGACGCAAAAACCTTTATCAAATTGTATTTAGTCCTTTGCTTTATCATTTTTACTTTTACCTATTATACTTAAATAATATAATTTATATATATATATAATGGTTTTAATATCATTTTTTTAATTTATAATTCAATCCAATATTATTTATAAATTATATATATCCTATAAAATGTTAGTCCCAAAATTATAAAAATATTATATTTTCAAATAACCGTACAAATTTAGATATGATTTATCACTATTTTAATAAAATATTTGTAATATATAGGAACAATGTGATTTTTTCTATAATATATTTTTTTTTTCAATCAAGTTTAAAATAATGGTATGGTATAATTTGAAATGTTTGCGAAATATGTGTAATTCTTATTGAATACATATTTTTTAATAACTTTTCCTTTATAATTAATTTTTTTTTATAAATTTTAAATCGAATTTAAATAATAGTGTTGTTTAATTTATAAAGTTGTAAAATGTTTGGGTAGTATTGAAAATTGTAAAAGTTGATGTAGAAGAGAATATTTTGAGAATATTCTTTTGGGTTTGAGAATGAGTTTTTTGGTTGGAGGTGAATTACTGTTTGATGTGAAAGTTACTGCAAAATGAGTTTGAGAATGAGTTTTTCGGTTGGAGATGGCCTAACGGAGATAGTTCGAAAAAATATGGAGATTTGTGTTTTTTCCTATTTAATTTTTTCTTTATATTGTTAGAAAATAGAATAGGTCATGTCACATTTTTTATTATTAATTTCAATAAATTGTATAAAGATATTAATAGGCAAATAGATTGAAAACATGAAAAAAAATATTTTAAAAAAATTGAACGGGAGTAATTGAAAAAACTAAATGATAAACAATGGAATATTCAAGCATTAATTTTCAATTTTAAAATGGAGAAAAAAAACCTAAAAAAAAAATAACCACAAAGACCAAAGTGAGAAAAAGGAAAAGTAGAGGGATCGACTTGAAAAAAGAAAAAGCAAAGAAAAAAGGATTTTGAGAATGCAAACGCATTCAGATTTGAGACTTGAGAGAGAGGTGCAAATGGTGCTTTTGCTTTTTCCTCTCCAAAAATCGAAACTGCCTTCCCAAATGGTATATAAAAAAAAGGGGACAAAATAGAAAAAAATGCTTATTGTAAATTGATGAAATAAAAAATAAATAAATTATACTATTCATATATATTTTTCTATCATTAAGATTTAATATTTTTATGTTTAAAATATTCTTTTTAAGAAAAATGTAATAATTAAGTAGGAGATATATAAATATGAAGAGAAGTATCACTGACTTAGTTGTTGAACAATTTAATAATAGCAGTATTGTTTGAAAAGACATTCTAGAATTTTGAAGGAAAAACTCATATTGCGTGAATTAATTGCTAAACAATAGTTGTTTTAAATAAACTAATTGCATACTTTCATATTTTAATCTATGTTGTATTTTAGAGTATGACGAGTCAACTTTAAAATATTTAAATATGTTGAAAATAAGACATCAATTAGTAATGTATAGGAGTACTGCAAACGAATCGACGACTCACGAGCGCTAGAGTCTAGCTCAAGTTTGACCGAACTCGATTCAAGCTCAAATGGCTCGAGTATGAAATTGAGTCCAGCTCGAGCCCATAATTTGTATTGTCCAGCGGCTCGTTGAGCGGCTCAAAATATATGTTGAATTACTAAGATACCCCTTATATATTACAATAGTATAACACATGTGATTAATGATAATTTTATTTTTTCACTTAAAATTTTTCGAGTTGAACTTGAGTCGAGCTCAAACATTTTGATTTCTAGTTCAGGTCGAGCCTAACTCGAGTGCTTGTACTTTTTTATCGAGTCGAAATCGAGCTCGACAAGCTCGAGCTCGAGCAGCTAAAAAAGGAAAAAAAAACAATTCTGCTCGATAAGGCGAATACTCGATTCGACTCGAATCATTTGCAGCTCTAGTCATGCCTAGCAGCAGGACTAGTGTTGAAATATTACATAAGTAAAGTTATATGAACGACAAGTTCCGGTTTGTCGGTCCTAACTCCTAACTATTAGACAATCATATTTAAAAAAAAAAAATGCATACTTTCAAAATAATATAACAAATTTATAAAAAAATATAAAATAAAAATATAACATTTTATAACATAAATATACATGTTTATTAAATGAAATATTACGTGAGTACATTAAGTCCACAATAATTAGGAGTAAATGTGCCAATTACCCATAATTTACCCACCTATAAATTGGAAATAACACAGCTCGGACTCAACCGTACATTCATAAATCGCAATTACCATAATAAATATATTTGATTTTATATTTTTCATCTCCTCCTTTAATTGGTCCTCTCCCTGCACCTCACTCCCCTTCCCCACACTTCTTCAAAGCTCTCATTCACCATTTGAGAGCCCAAAAAAACCAGATAAAACAAAAAAATAAAAAAAATCTGAATTTCTGTGAACACTTCTCTGATTCACACACATTCTTGAAGAGAAAAATGCAACCTTTAACATGACCAGCGGCGCGCGGCGGTGAATTACTCCCTCCCCCGACGGTTATGAATCCCACCTCCTCAGACCCATTAGCCGCGCCGCCGCCGCCGCCGCAGCTGCAGCAGCCTCCGAGATCCTCCTTCAGCTGCGACCGCCACCCTGCCGAGCAGTTCACCGGCTTCTGCCCCTCCTGCCTATGCGAGCGCCTCACCACCCTAGATCACTCCTCCTCCAACACTCCCTCCTCCTCTCGCCGCCCTTCCTCCGCCTCCGCCGCCATAAAGTCCCTGTTCTCCTCCAAAAACGCCTCCCTCCCGCCGCCGCCTCCGGCGGCCACCAAAACCTCGAAACCCTTGTTTTTCCCCGAGCTGCGCCGGACCAAGTCCTTCTCTGCCTCGAAGAACGAGGCCCTCGGGCTCTCGTTCGAGCCACAAAGGAAGTCCTGCGATGTCAGGGCGAGGAGCACCCTCTCGACCCTCTTCACGCTCGACGGCGGTGCTAAAGCGGCCGCCGGAAACATAAATCTGAACTGCAGCAAACCCTCCTCATTCCCGGCCTCCTCAATTGCCTCAGCCTCTCACCAAAACCCACCAAACGCCAAAAAAATCGAATCTTTCGTAACCAATGAAGCGGAAAATGATTCCCACAAGGACCCTGTTCTTGTGTACGATGATGTCACCAATGACGATGGAGTTGAAATTAGGCCCGTTAGAGACACCCATTTGGAAAATTTGAGAAATTCGATTGCAAACGAGTTCAATAGCAATGAGATAGTTGAAGAAGACGACTCGGCCGGTGTTAGCAACAGCTTGAAGCCTATGAAAGACCACATTTACCTCAACACTCAAGAAAAGAAGAGCTCGGGAGGTGGGGGGTTCTGGTCTGCAGCCTCGGTTTTCAGCAAAAAGTGGCACAAATGGCGGCAGAAGCAAAAGACCAAAAGTTCCTCCACAAATGGCTGCAATTTTGCAGCTTTGCCGGTTGAAAAGCCGATGTCGAGGCAGTTAAGGGAGACCCAGTCCGAAATCGCCGACTACGGCTTCGGCAGGAGGTCCTGCGACACGGGCCCAAGATTCTCCCTTGACGTAGCCCGAATAAGCGTCGACGGCCCAAGATACTCGTTCGACGAGCCACGGGCCTCGTGGGATGGCCACTTGATTGGCCGGAGCTTCTCGAGAATGGCCCCTATGGTCTCGGTCATGGAGGACAGTCCATCTTCCGGCACGCGACATATCGCACGCTCGGACATGCAGATTCCGGTGGAGGGCAGTTTGGTAATTTGTGCGAAGGATGGCGAAAACGTTCCGGGAGGGTCGATGCAGACGAGGGATTACTATCTCGACTCGTCCTCCTCCCGGAGGAGAAAGAGCCTGGACAGGTCCGACGAGATGAGGTCGGTTTCTAATGCAAATGCCGATTGCTTTGCTGAATTGATGGCTGGTGAGAAAAACTGTAATACGAATAACTTGAGGGATTCGAGCGTAAATTCACAGTCCTTCTTGAAGGATGATTGTTATGAGACGTTCGAGTTGAGCAGTGGTGTGTTTGGGGAGAAGAAGGAGCCGAAAAAGTCGAGGAGGCCGTGGAGTTGGAGGATATGGGGTTTTAGTTTCATAAATCGACGTAATAGTAAGGATGAGTATGAGGATGAGAAAAACTGTGGGGGGAATGGGGTCGAAAGATCATTTTCCGAGTCTTGGCAAGATTTGAGATTGAAAAACGGGGACTTTAAGGGTCAAATGAGCCGGAACATGTTAAGGAGCAATAGTAGCGTGAGCTTGTTTAGGAGCATGAGCAAATCCGGTGGAGAGATTAACGGGAGAAAGAAAAAGGACGAGTTTGTTTTGGAGAAAAATCGGAGTGTGAGGTACTCCGCTAACGAAGTTTCGGATAATGGGCTTTTGAGATTTTACTTGACGCCTATGAGGAACAGTAGCCGGAAAGTGGGGTTCAAACCGAGTAATTCACACTCGATTGCTAGGAGCGTGCTGAGGCTGTATTGAGAAAAGATTGAATTTTTTTCGAGGGCCCTTTTTTGGGGTTCTCGAGTTAGTTTCGTATTTTCGGTTTAGGATGTGTTGTTGTTGTTTGTTTTACTGACTCTTGCTGCAGGTTTAGCTGCATTTGTCTGTGTAGTAGTATCACATTGTCTATTGGGGTCTTGTTTTTTTTATAGTTATGCAGTGAACTTGAATCTGTGATGACTGATGAGGAGAATTATTATGGGGTAACTTTAATAATGAGAAATGAATGGTCTTGTGTTTGATAGATGGTTTCTATTACATTTTCATGGTGAAACTCATGGGGGCATTCACTTTGTATCTGTTGATGTTTGTTATCTTTAGGATGCCTTGCTTTATTAGTGATTGATGTCTACAAAGACAAGATTAGAACACTGGTTTGAATAAAATGCAATGTTTGGTAAGTAACTATGATGATTGTTTGGTCGTGGGCAATGATTGTTGTTTGCTCGAAGATTTGAGCTCATTGTATTCAGTCCTTGTCATTGAAAAAACAAAGCAAAGTGGATGATCCACCAGAAAATTAAAAGGGGAGGCAAACAATAATTTGGTCCAAGAAAGAGAAAAAAAAAGTGGGAAAAAAGGGGAATGGGCATTAGGCATATTTGTCTCCCAAATTGGTGGAGTGACTCAGTTGAAGGCATTTTTTGAAGCTGTCTCTTTTTACCGTCATGTCATTTAGAGCTGTTAAACGAAATGAGTTGTTTGTGAGCTCATCTCGGTTCGGCACGTTAAGGTTCGAGTTTGACCCGGCTCGTGTGATAAACGAGTTGAGCTCGAGCTTAAGTTCGCTTAAAGCTCGACTCGATAACGAGCCAAGATCAGTGGTTGGTAATGTTAACAAACCATTATATTCCCCTCTTTAACTGCATTGTACCAAGATTTGGTTCACACAAGTGAGGTATACTAATGTAAAAGCTCGAGATTAGAGAAATGAAGGTCAAAAAGTGGCAGCAAAAAAACAACTCATCGTTGTAGTTGGTAAGTGAGGTGAAGATTTAAAGTGAAGTTGGCAATAAAAGATGAAAACCTCTAAAAAAAATAAAGAGAGGTTCTAAATCCAAAGCCTAGTGAAGTTTTGCCATTATTAAGCATCATAAAAATAATACTACTAAGTAATCATACAAGTTCTATCTTTCACTCCTTTTGAATGGGCCCACTTTTTCCTAAACGAAGGCCTCCAGCCCATGCACCTTACGCTGTTGGGCTTCATATGTAAGGTTGTAAATTATGCATGACAACTCACCTCTATTGGTCTTCATGCTCTAACTCTTCACCAAGAACATAAAAAATCCTATAAACGCATAAACCTTGGTACACCCTAGGATATAGATAAAGGTGACGTGGCATCATGAAATAGCTCGATAAATCGCTTGGGTTGTACGGCTCGTAGCTCGAGCAAGGAATGTTAATCACCTGTGGTTGGCTCGGGTACATAGAGCTTCACTCAGATACTCCAAAGTTCGCACGAATCTCAACCGAGTGGACAAGCTATGATATCGAGCTGATAAGATGTATCGACTGAATTATGAGAGAATTACTTGTCATCTTGATCACGATAAATTATCGGATGTGCATGATTTACCTTGTTTTATCCGAGCTACTTGTTATCGTATCCACTTGTCCAAATAGGGGCACTCTTGGAAGCCTTACGGAATCGTACATTTTCTTATTCACATTGTTGACATTCTATTCGCTCAAGTTGTAAAGAAACACTATAATGAACATGTATATAACCGATGAAGAGAGTAGATTTCATATGCGATGTTTAGGTTAACCATTTTTAAATCGACAAAATGACCCTAATTATGTGCCAAATCCATTTAAATTTTGTCTATTTTATGTCTTAGTTTGGGAAAATACTACGACCGCGTTACGAAACCATCCCGTCAACATTTATAACTGTTCGATACACAAGTAGTTAGTATAAAATAGATGATCTAACGGTTAAAACAACCGACGGGATGGTTTCGTAACAGGATCCATCCCTATTTATTATCTACCCTTAATCCCCCCTATATATTAATACAGAATGCGCTGAGTCTACGTGGCTGCTTCTGGTGCTTCGGAATCCTATGTGGCAAAATTACATGCTTCGTTATTAGGCTTGAGTAAATTTTAATTTAATTCCAAACCAAAAATAATTAGGTTCGGATTACCATAAATATGTTGATTACTTATGGTCATGTTACATGTATTAATTGTATTTTAATATCATTCCTTATTATAACTATTGAATTGTATATATATTTTAAAAGTTAATAACTTTTGTATTTTTTATCAGTTTTGCATATGTAATATATCAAATTAATCTTCTTTTCATAAGCTTCGATTTAACATCCATATTGTATGTATAAAAAAAATAATTTATATTTATCTTTATAACAATAATAAAATTATTTTTAATATTAATTAGAAAAATAAAATTATTTATCAACTAATATATTTATATTTCAAGTAGTTATATGATATAAGCTATAAAAACTAATATAATATAACACATGTAAGTCATAAGCAACACATATCATTCTAAAATATATAGTAATATAGTTTTTTTGTAAAAAAGTAAACTAAATTTAATATAATTTTCTCATTAATTTTAAAATTTAAGAATAATTTTTTAACAAGCACCCGTGTAATACACGGGTATTGTACTAGTATTTAAAAATGATCAAATAAGGTGACTGCAATTCCCTTGTTTTTATCCAAAAACTCATTAAATAATAAAAAAAAGGGCCAAAAAACAGAAGGAAACACAAAGCATAGAAAACAAGAGTCGTGAATTGAGAAAGTGGGAAGCACTGAAGAAGATGACTATGCCGGTGAAGCAGGGACTTTCTACATGGAGCCCGCCAAGATTTCCTATTTCATCTCTTAAACCCCAAAAATCTCTCAGACCCACTTCATCTTTCTACACAGTATTTGCTGCGCTCAAGGGCACGAGCCAAAATGTCACTAATATCATCAGTCACATGAGAAAAGACGGTGAAAATGGGAAGTTGCAGCAACATTCACTGTCCTTTTTTAGCTTCAAGGTGATGTTTTGGTTCCTCTTTTCATATTTGTACACGGGCATGTTTCAAAATCGAATCTTTTGGTGAATTTGTGTGTTTTTTTAGGTTTGTTTTGTTTATTTTAATCAGTTTGCTTAAGTTGGTTAATTGGGCGTATGCTTTATTGCTTAAGTTAATTGAATCTGAATTCATGTTCTTATCTGTCTGTATGTTTTGAGATTTTAGTCAGCAATTGTGGAGAAAGTAGTCCAGTTGGGTGATGTGTGATCTATGAAAATTTCTTGTGGCTTTGAGTTGGGGTTTTTTCAGCCTACTGAAGCAGCTCAAAAGAAAAAGGGAAAAAATATAAAAGAGAAATTTGCAAAAATGCTACCTTTCGATCTCTTTGCAGAAATACAACCTTCATTGATGTTGTTTTAGTACTGAAAATTGAGGGTATTCGTAGTATTGAGCTTATTAGTTACCGCCCGTTTTTGCTCTTATATTTCATTTGTTGTCTTTTTTCATACCCTACTCTGGCAGGAAAGAATGCTATCAAGACTCCCATTAGCTGTCTTAGTAGCCAATGCTATGATGTTCGATAAACCTCTGCAAGTACTTGCTGAAACATGTGAAGCTGATGGTAATGCCGCTTTGAATATGAATATGCCGTTGTTGCTCTTTGTTGCCCTAATTGGTGCCACCGTTGGAGGTAACTTTTATAGAGAAAAATAAAAAATGCAGTCAGATCCTTTTACACAGTAGTTGTTAGAATAGAAAAGAACCCAATTGCAACCTATTAATTTAACATCTCACATCCACAAAGTTCTTGATTAGATAATTCTCGTCAGTTGCTTTGAGAATAAAAATTATTTGAAGATGATTGGGGGTTTTATGTTATTGAAATTTTATTAGATTCGATCGATGACTGGAAAAAAGAGAACAAATACCATTTTTAAGAAAATTTCACACGCCATTTTGGGACGAAATTTTTTTCTCAAGTATTCTTTTTCGTTTTCTTCACAATCACAGCTTGATTGTTATTTTTTTTTCCTTTCATTTTTCTGTTCATAATAAAGGACTTGTTGCACGAAAGAGGAAAGGAGAATTGCAGCAACTAAACGAACAACTTAGACAGATCAACACGTCACTAAGAAGGCAAGCTAAGATCGAATCGTATGCCCCAAGTTTGAGCTATGCTCCTGTAAGTGGACGCCTTACGAAAGATGAGTTGATTGTTGACCCTAGAAAACCAGATTTAATATCTCGTCTGAAAAATGGGAAAAAATTCTTACGAAATCAAGAACTGGAGAAGGCATTCTCCGAGTTCAAGACCGCGCTTGAGCTTGCACAGAATCTTAAAGATCCTATTGAGGAAAAGAAGGCTGCAAGAGGCGTAGGTATATTCTAATATAAAATGGTTTGTTCTTTTATTGCAAATATTTTTGGTTTTGCTTGAAACTGCTTCACACCAAGTTATTTTACGCATTGAAGGTAGGGGTGTTCACGGTCCGGTTTTAACCGGAAAAAACCGTCAATCCGGACCGCGGATCGGTTAAATGGTCGGTTAAAAAAGCCTTAAAAAATCCGGTGGTTAATTTTTTTAAAAATCCGGAATAACCGGTCCGGTTAACGGATTACATGCGGCAAACCGTCGGTTTAACCGGACCGGACCGGACCGGTAAATGTTAAAAAACTATAACAAATATATATATACATTCAGTCATTCACTATGACCGACAAATACAATAAATTCACTATCATTTTTTGGCTTTTTTGCATAATTTAATCTTCATCATTTTTATATTTTTATGTTTACGGGACGAAATGTGTATTTTTATGCTTATAGGAGGAATTGTATATTTTTTATTTCATTATTGTTATTTTTCCTAATTTTTAGGCCCAAATAATCTTTTTTGGGCTCAAAATTGAAAAATGAAAATTAAGCCCAAAATGAAAAAAATAAAATTGAAGGCCCAAAACAAGTATTTTGGATTTAACCGGTTAACCGCCAAACCGGACCGTCCAATGCGGTTCGGATTGTGGTCGGTTAAAAAATAAAACCGGTCCGGTTATGGACAAGAAAAAAAATTAACCGTTAGGTCCGGTTTGGTCATGGTTTGGGCTAAAACCGGACCAATCCGGACCGTGAACACCCCTAATTGAAGGTCGTCCTTGATTTTGTAAGTGTTCTCTCTTTCTTTTGTAATAATCCCTTTTCACTTCAACTAACCATAGTGCTCGGTTGACTCTTGTATTTTCTTGACAAATTGAAAAATAGAATAAAATATATATGACGTGTTAGTAATTTTTGAAAGATAGTTGTTGTTTTGTGTATTAGATTAAGGCTATGTTTGGTAATCAAATAAGCTAGCTTTTAGCTTATTATAAGCTCCTCTTTATTCAAATAAGCTACTACCAAACATGAGCTTTTTTAAAAAGCTCGAACTTATCTCATAAGCTTGTTGAAATTTTTATTTCATAGTTTATCTGTTGATTTTACCAAATACTTTTACTATATAAGCTAGCTTTCAACTATAAGTCATAAGCTTCAAGTTATAAGCTAAAAAATGACTTATAAGCTATCGGCTAGTTTTACCAAACATCTTAATTAAAACAATTATCCGCTTTTTAGGGGCATCACTGCAAAGACAAGGCAAATTTCGGGAGGCCATAAAGTACCACACACTTGTTCTTGAAATATCACAAAGGGAAGGAGAAGAATCGGGGAATACAGAAGCCTATGGAGCAATAGCCGATTGTTATACCGAACTTGGAGATTTAGAACGAGCTGCGAAATACTATGACCAGTATATTTCCAGGTTACAGTCGGAGTGAACTTTTCTATATCGGGAAACTTTTTGTATTGTGTTAGCTTGAGTTTTTTAGTAGTTTTGCGGTGTTTACACTGATTCATCAGACATTTAATCGATAGAACAGTTCATTGTATCATGATCGAACCCAATTACTCGGCTCGAAATATAGAGGCGGGACGGGTAATCGAAAGAAGAAAATAAGATGTAAAAGAATGTAGTTTCAAAGCGTAATAGTTTAGAAACTGAAACCTACAACTTTGTGAGTAGATGAAAAGTGCTTGCTTTTACAAATAAATAAACCAAAGACTCAAAATACAGTATTTATTTAATTGAGCTAAGTTTTGTTGTGGCTAGGTAGTAATAAGATTACATGGGCAGACGAGCATTAGAAATTTAAGCATGGCTTTAGATGAGATACTTGCTTTATTAATACGTGCTACTATTATCTCTGTAATATAATTGGGCAATTTATACAGTTACGTGTACATTAAAACAAATTTTCATATTTGCGATCCTATCAACTTAATTGCATATATATACGATGTAATTTTATTCGAGGTGGAATGATATGTAACCAATTTTTAGGCATCTTTTCAATTAATTGTCATGTAGTAGGTACAAATGTAATAAAATATTTATTAATAGTTTATTTACAATTATTTACAATCTCTTTACGTAAAGATGAAATTTTCCCAAAAATAGGGCAATTTATACAGTTACGTGTACATTAAAACAAATTTTCATATTTGCGATCCTATCAACTTAATTGCATATATATACGATGTAATTTTATTCTACTTAATTTGTTTCCTTAATTTTCTCATCTTTCATTTATCTCCTTCTTAATTATCTTTCTTTACATTATCTCTAAGGCCATCTCCAACCGACAAACCCAAACTCAAACCCATTTTGCAGTAACTATCTCATTTTGCAGTAATTCATCTCCAACCGAAAAACTCATTCTCAAACCCAAAAGAAT